AAAAATGTAAATAAAAAAATATTCAATCGCTTCATATCATCACAGCATACCTAATGAAATTTCCCATCATATCCTTCCCCCAAAGAAATAACCTATGGAGATTTTGACTCTGCTCTGCAGGTTCTTGTTTTTGCCCTGTAAGTTGCTTTCCTTTTTTCTACAGAAATGTTCTGTAGCTGCTTCTTGTCTGGAGAAATTTGATATTCTAAAGTGCTAGCTGTTTTAATGTTTGTTTCCTTCAAACTAAGATGAAATGTTTCTTTAAAAAAAAAATGTGTATTCCTTATAAGTGAATTTCTATTCCTCTGTATTGTCTTGAGTCACAATTGTAAAGCTCTGTGTGATGTCTTTTTCTCCTGTTAGCTTCTGATGACACTGCTTTGGGAAATTCTTAGGACAATAATTTAACAGAGGACATTACAAGACAGTATTAATATCTACAGAGACCTTTTATTAGCTTTAAGTGTTCTATTAGACATCCTCTTATTCTCTCTAAGGTTTGACCTGATCTTATAGCCACATATCAAAACCGATGTTTGCCTAGCTGCCATTTCTTTGAGGATATATTATAGGGCTAGATTAAGAAATACTGAAAAATCTAACATATCCTGGAACATTTATATTTTCTCTAAATAATATTAAAACTTGAAGCTTTGTTTTTCCCTCATCTCTTTCTTTTTACATTTTACTATAGACAGGTAAAAGAAGTATCTTCAACACTTTGCCTAGATAGCTTCTCAGCTAATCATTGATTTCTTAGGTGGATTTCTCATTTTCCACATTATCATAGGCAATAGTACTCCCATACTTTCCTTTATGATATAACAGAAGTTGCCTTCAAATTTCATTAATATCTTTCATATTTTCTTTTTATGTATTTATTTTTATTTTAGATTTTTGCCATAGGGTACACAAGCTCACTGGAGAGAGACAGAGAGCTAAAGTAAGACATTAACCCCCAGTGAGGATGGCCATGCTGCAATCCCTTCTCCTCCATTCTCTTCTTGGGATTTAGAGTACTCATGCACATTTGTCCAGTGCATTTTTCAGACTTCCAAGTCTGTAACTAAAACTCAGCAGTCAGCCATGCGGGATCCAACACCTGGAGCACTACACCACCTGCTGATTTCCCTAATTTTCTCTTAAATGGTCACTGAATGCTTGGCTACTTGAGGCCCTTTAGGCTCTGTTACTACCATCTTCAAAACCCCTTTTAGTCTTTCACCAACACATTTCTCTAGTCTCTGAAGGCCTTTTCTCATAGTACCATGAATAAACTACTAGCTTTCACACATCACTTCCTCTGAAGTCAATGCCACATGGTGTAGGTGTCTGTTACCTAGCATTCCATTTCCAGTTGCCTCATCTCTTTCAGTTATCTATTACTGCATAACAAATCACCCCAAAAGTAGTGCTTAAAATAACAATACTCATTTAGTTTGCTTACTAATCTGGAATTTAGATAGGGCTTGGTGGAAATAGCTCAGCTCTGTTCAATGTAGCTTTAATTGGGGCAATTCTAAGGCCAAGTGTGACTTTACCCGCAAGGGCTCAATCACATGAAGACTGGCTTGTGGTAGATTTGTTCTGCAGAAGATGTTAAATTGTGTTGTACATGCTACATTTGAGTTCATGAGAGGATTAATGAGTGATGAAATTCAATGACTTGAGGCTCAAGAGAAAGTCTAGATTGGATATAAGGTTTTAGAGCCAATGGAGTATAAATGATAATTTAGCCCATTTTAAGTGAATAAAGAGAATAAACATGATATTAAAAACATGAGCACAGAACCCTGACAAATATTGATATTTATGAAATTAGAAATAGAAAGACACAGATGTGAGGACTGAAAAAAATTCTATTCCAGAAGTAAGAAGAGAACTTGGATTGGTGATGTTTTATCAGAAAAAATAGAAAAAAGTTGTAAAAGAATGTGAGCAGCTAACTATAGCCTCATACACTAAGCATCAGAAAATTATAATCAAATTGAAGTTTGGGATTCTGTTAGAGTGTAGTCAGTATTCTAGTTGGTATAGACTGAGAGGCCAGTAGATTGAGACTGACAGTCAAAAAAATATTGAGTAGCAACTATGTTCAGTGATATTCTGCATACAAAGACTTTGAGAGCTAATAAAATACAGAGTAAAAGATAGTAATGTTAAAAGAAGTTTGAGGGTCTAGAAGGTCCTGTGGTGGTTAAGGTGGCTGGACTCCCACATGGCCCACCGTGGTTTGAATCCTGGGCACAACAACTTGAAAATCATGCTGGGTGCATATGCATGCATGCCTAAAATCCCAGAAAATAATGGAAAAGAGATTGTGGCATAGTCATCCCCCTAGGTGATGATTTTTCACCTTCCCTCTCACCATCTCTCTCTCTTTTCTAGGAGCACACATACCTTAAGACAAAAATCCTTAAACACAATACCTTAACGAACTAAATAGATAGACTGATAAAAAGAAGCTTTAGTATAAAAGGAAATAGACTTAAATATTTGCTTATATATTTTATTTCTTACATTTGCTTTTCATTTAAATAATTTTGAAATGTAAAGTATTTTAGATTGAGAGAAGAAAGACTTGTTGACGAGAAGAGAGCTAGGTGGAAGATTATGTTCTATTATCTTTATGAATCAGGAAGGCCCACGGACCACTTTCTGCATTTTGTTATATTCAATGAACGAAATCCCTAATTCATACTCTTGAAGAATAAATCATGTTTTTACTGTAGATTTCTTTAAAGTGGTAGGGAAGTTTTACATAGCAAAACACCTAACAATGTTTCATGAATCTTTTTTAAGCATCTTTCTCATGTCTTTAGTTTTCTTCCTACCACAGTTGCTTTATTTTTCTGCTTTCTTCATTTACACAGCCCTACAATCAAACTCAGCCTCCTTGTTCATTTTCTTCTTCCCAGCTCCTTTCTCCTGACTTGGAGTCTTCCCAGCCATGTGCAGCTTTTCTGAACTATAAGTGTATGAGAAAGAAAACTAGAACTTGATACATACATAAAGAAGTGGTAACCAAAAAGAAAGAGTATGGAGCCAGCTCCATGGCCTGGTAGTTAAGGCAGTCATATCTCACATGATCAACTGTGTTATTTACTTATTTATTTATTGAGAGATTTTGCTATAGGTTGCATGTGTTCACCAGAGAGACAGAAAGCGATAAATCACTACCCAGGGCCAGTGGCCATGCCACAATCCCTTCTCCTTCATTCTCCTCTCAGGTCTTGGGCATGCATGCACATGAGCCCGGCGTGAGTTTTAAGTTGCCAGATCTGGAACTCGAACTGCTGTTGACTATGTGGAGTGCAGTGATGTAACCATTATGCCATCTGCTGGTCCACCAACTGTGCATTTTGAGTCCTGGACCTGGCAGCTTAAGAAACACACTGGGGGACCAGCAGTTAGTGTAATGGTTATGTTGCTGAACTCCCATGTAGTTGACCATGGTTTGAGTCCCAGACCTGATGGCTGAAACTCACGCCGTGTGCATGTGTGTGCTTGGCCAAGATCCTGAGAGGAGAGTGGAGGAAAAGGCATGAAGGCATTGCAGCATGGCCACCACCCCGCTCGGGGGGGAGGTGATTTCTCGCTTTCTATCTCTCTGTCTCTATCTGTCTTTCTGGTGAGCACACACACCCTATAGCAAAAAGCTCTCCAAAAAAAAAAAAAAAGAAAGAAAGAAAGAAACAAGAAACACACTAGGCATGTGGGTACGTGTGTGTCCAAAACCCAAAAGGGGAGATACATGGAGGAGGGATAGTGGCTTGACATTTCTCCTGGAGAGTGCTTTATCCTCTTCCTTTTTCCTTTGTCTGTCTCTGGTGAACACGTGCACCAACTAACTTAAAAAAAAATGTATAAAGTAACCACTGATATTTCTACTGTGATTTCATCATAGAAATCTTTTTACCTAATAAATACTAAAAATGAATGTTTTTGATGCTATAATAATTGTCTTTGCTCTATTTTATGGGAAAAAATAATAGTATCTTCACTACCTAGTCCTTTTGCAGTGCTATAGTGCTACTTCATGTAATCATTACATCCTTCTTGATATAACTCATTTAATTGAGAACTATAGAAAAATATGACTTGACTTTATAAGAGGTAACATCCATAGCTGTTATCGGCATGAACATGTGAAAATTTGTCATTGATACTATTCTCACAAAGTATGATGCTCATCACACTCAGAAAAGTTTGATGTTATTTAAGTATATTATATTCTGTATGTGATAATCAATATCAGAATGTCCCTTGTGGGCAAACACAAGGACCATCCTTACATCTCCCCACAAAGTGGAAAATACAGCTGTCCACTGAGACACTATGACCAACCTGAAATAGAAATTATACCAAACAAAAATGACTTATATTGTATCTTTGTTCATGAAACTTGCCTAAGATTGTATTTTACTAAGTGTGAAAAATTTGCACCATAACGGCTGAAAACAGAAATATGAATTTTTCCAGTGGCTATGTACTGTGCATCTTTTAAAATATGATTCATTTGAAAAATTTATTTATTTTCAAATTTTTACATTCAATCACTGTGCATCATTACATCATGCCAAATAATTTTCCCATCATGAATACACTGTATATTAGTTCTGTCCAAGATACTACCATACACATTATCAACAGATAAGTTTTCATTTTTGTATCCCTTAAATGTTTTGTTTCTTTCTTTTTTTCCCTTGATTCCCTCCCTCTAACCCTCTTCTGTTTCCCAACCTCCTCCTGCACTGTCTCTAGTATTGACAGTTGTTCTCCATACTTTTATACCTTCCAGTCTTTTAGTTTCTGCCATAGAGTGCTGATATTTGGTATATATTGAGTGGGGACACAGAATGGCTTTCTTTTGTAATCTGGTTTACTTCACTTAGAAGTAAATCTTCCATATTTGTCCACTTTCTATTACATGCCGGGGTCTCATTGTTTTTTTATGGTTGAGTTGTATTCTGTTGCATCTTACATGCGATACCATTCCACTATGCCTTATTCTTTCTCTGAAATACTTGAATGATCCGTCTTCGTATCTGCTTGGTTTTCACACTATAGACAATAGGGTTTAACACGGGGGGCAACAGTAGGTAGATATTGGCCATGAGTGTGTGAACTACTGGTGATAAATGCTTCCCAAATCTGTGAACCATGGTGACACCAATAAGAGGAACATAGAAAAGCAGCACAGCACAGATATGAGAGAGGCAGGTATTGAGGGCTTTGAGCCTTTCAGCTCTGGAGGCAATGCTCAGCACAGTCTTCAGGATAAGTATATAAGAAAAGAGAATGATGAGGGCATCAAGCCCCAGTGTGAAGATGACAATGAAGAGGCCATAGAGGCTGTTGACTCGGGTGCTGGCACAGGCTAATCTCATTGCATCTTGGTGAAGACAGTATGAATGGGACAGGACATTGGAATGGCAGAAAGGCAGCCGCTTTATAAGGAAGGGTACAGGGAAGACCACACAGATTGCTCGGATGAGAACAGCTATTCCAATCTTTCCAATAATGCCATAGGTGAGGATAGAAGCATAGCGTAGTGGGTCTCGGATGGCTACAAACCTGTCAAAGGCCATGGATACTAGGACTCCTGATTCAACTACTCCAAATCCATGAATGAAGAACATCTGGGTGATGCATGCATCAAAGGAAATCTCAGGGACATTAAACCAGAAGATGCTAAGCATAGATGGCAAGGTGGACATGGAGAGACTAACATCAGTCAGAGCCAAAATAGAGAGGAAGTAGTACATGGGCTCATGGAGACTCTGATCCACCTTGATGACAGCTAGGATGGTACCATTTCCCAGAAGTGTTAGTGTATAGAGAAATCCCAGGGGAAAGGCCATCCATGGATTCTTGTCTGGCATACCTGGGATACCTGTTAGAATGAAACTGTTGTGGTTGACTTGTGACACATTCAAGGTCATCTTGGTGTTCTTACCACTGGGTGCGTTTGGACTCTCTCACTTAGATCACTGCTTCTAAATAGAAAATATATTATTATAGAGACATGAAAATGGCCTTATGAATGCATAAATAAAACAGTAGAGAGAATTGGATTAAAAGCTAGTGTAGGGATCAGCAGTTAGTGTAATGGCTATGTTGCCGTACTCCCATGCAGCCGACTGGGGTTTGAGTCCCGGACCCGGTGGCTTAAACTCACGCCGGGCGTGTGTGCGTGCGTGCCCAAGTTCCCGAGAAGAGAATGGAGGAGAAGGGATTGCAGCGTGACCATCCCCCTTGGGGGGTGATTTCTCGCTTTCTGTCTCTCTCTGTCTGGTGAGTGCTTGTGCCCTATAGCAAAACCTCTCAAAAAAAAAAAGAAAGAAAGAAAAATAAAAAGAAAAAACAAACTAGTGTTTGGGTAGTTTTTGTCCCTAGACAATCATATAAGATGACCTCTTTTCTCTTGGATTTAATTCATTCACCTGAAAAACAGAGATAAGACTAAATACCCACTGTTAGACAGTGGAGAATTTGGATCTCTCCTTTTGGATAATGCTCGAGGCTTTTTAGAAAAGAAGCAGCCATACCCGATGACTTAGTAGCATTGAGCATTTTGCCAAATAATAATTTAGAAACCCCACTAAACTTACAAAACTGTTACCACTCACATAGTTGCATACGATTCCACTGCCATCACAAATCCACATACACGCAGATATGAAGGTGTGTAAAATATATATTCAGTCACTGCCTTGGTATCTATTCTATTTGTAATGAACTACATGTATACATAAACACCTTAATAGTTTAAAACTTCCTGGTACACTGATTTTACATCCTGGGCTTTTTTTCCTTATAAATAAATATAATTCATTTAACATTGCATGTATACTTGTTAAATATCTACTTGTCCTATTAGAAGCTAAACTCCATGAAGGAAAGGGGTATTTTCTTGGTTATGATCTCATAGAGCACATGCCAAATACATTTCTGTATGGAAAAAAAATTAATGAATATGGACAATGAATGTCAGTCTGTTTTTGAGAAGACTTGAAACTCTCAGCCCCTTCCCTGGTCTTTTACATGTGGGATGAAAAGTATTAACTAAGGGGAAAAAAAATACCTTTTTCTTAGATGTCACAGTAAGAACTTAAATAGGCAACCCTTGAAAGGTACTATGGTGTCTTTTTTTTTGCACCTATGAACTTGTGAGAAGGAGAAAAAAGTCTCATGGGCTGGTTTGGGAATCCTGAGCCCACTGCTGGATCAATTTCAGAAGACCAAGTAGTGCTGCTCACTCTGCCTCGTGTATCTACTATAGAGTGAGGATTTGTTATTTAGGAAATATGACTACAAAGGAGCTATTCTGTAGGTTTTTATCTTTTAGGCATACAAGAATCCTTGAAAGGTGGGAACCAGCAGTTAGCATAATGGCTGTGTCACTGGACTCTCACGTGGTCGATCGCGGTTCGTGTCCCCAACTAGGTGGCTTGGGACTCACACCGGGCGCATGTGCGTGCATGCCCAGGATCCCAAGAGGAGAGTGGAGGAGAAGGGATTGCGGCGTGACCATCCCCCCTGGGGGATGATTTCTTGCTTTCTGTCTCTGTGTCTCTGTCTGTCTGGCGAGCGCACGTGCCCTATAGCGAAAATCTCTCCAAAAAAAAAAAGAATCCTTGAAAGGTATAAAGGTATATAATTCACTTACAAAAATTGCATTGTGTCTTGCAAACAGAATCCAACCCTCTTTCCAAATAAATCACAATGGTCAGATCCAGATAAAGTGCTTTGTGATGCTTGTCTAAATTATGTCTGCATTTTGAGTAAGGGGATTTGTTTTAGGGAGTGTCTTCAAAAGATATGGAAATTCATATTGTGAAAAAAACTATGCATGAATAATTAAAATTTTTTACACCAAAATAAATTTGTATTTTAAGTCCATTTTTTCATGAACTTTTGAAGTACCTTCGTACTTTGCATGTTAGTGGGAATGTTTCACTTGCTTAGGGCTGTGGATCCCTCATCCTAAGTATATCCAATAGCTGTCAGTTGGGAAGAATCAACTCATCCCTACTGGATCCTTTTCCGGGAAGCTGTTGAAAAATCTTTAATGTTGTCAAAGTTACCAGAGTCTGATATAACACTATTCTTCTATGAAAATAATTGATATTTGTTTTTCCCTTCCCCATTTTTTAAATCTAATTTTGACTCTGCATTTTTCTACTGAATGTGTTTTATCCCACCATCTCCTTTCTTCCTCATTCTTGTCTCTATTCTCTAGCTTCTTCTTCTTTCCAACTTCCTGAACTTTACAGGGCCCCTTCCTTATCTAGCTCTCAATGAAATTTCTATTTATTCTTCTATTCCATCTTTGCTTAATACTTCTCCGTGCACTAAATGCTTTCTCATAGTATGCATCTTCTTTTATTCTAATAACAGCACCTGCATACTACTTTTTCTTTCCATCTTTCATTTGCTTTTCACTACCGTGTGATGTACTCTAAAGCCTGTTTTGATCTGTTTTTATCATCTTTCTCACTGGAATGTCTATGAGGATTTAATGGGAGGAAAAAGTGCACAAGGAAGCTTATGCAGAGCTTGTTACATAGAGAGTATGATAAAAAATTAAGATTAATTTATTACCTGTATTAACTTCTGTGTTCCAGTTCAGAACTAATTTGGCCTCTTTCCTTCCCTGAGTTTATTGTGCTAGGCACTTATGAAGACTGCTCAAACCTCTGATGGTATCCAGAGACATTGTGATTCTATGAAGATTGCATAATTCTTCTGGGAAAAAAATATCTCTTGAGGGGTATTATAAAGTACCGCCTGGACTATTCTATCTTAATTCCCCTAGGGAATTATTCCCAAACCCTTTCTTTATCTCTCAGGCATCTTTTCAAAGTTTATGCTTAGCTCTAATTTTTAATCTTGATTTTATTTTCATATTCTCAGATTTGAAACACACACACACACATATACACATTAATTTGCCTCATGATAATCACTAGGTTTTAAGATTCTAGACCAATTTTAGTCCAGGTCTTCTAAATCTACACTCAGTCGGTCTAAGTGATGATGTGGTATTATAACTTGACCTGAAATAAAGCTGGAGTCCACTGTCATTTTTGAATGGCAAGAACAGTTGTACAAAGGAGAAATTTCCTGGCTGAACATTCAACATATTCCACAAACACACAGATCACTCAGTAGAAGTATTTCTGACTAAAGGTTTTGGTTTGTTTGTCTTTTTGTTTGTTTGTTTGTTTTTTAGATTCTTGCCATAAGGCACTTGCACTTATCATAAAGAGAGACAGAGAGAGGGAAAGTGAGAAATCATCCCTAAAGGGGGATGGCCATGCCTGAATCCTTTCTCCTGTAAATCTCCTCTCGGGATTTTGGGCATACACACACATGTATCTGGCATGATTGTCAGGTCACCTGGTCTGGGACTCAAACAGTAGTTGGCTATGTGGGAATTCAGTACCTTAACCAACACACCACCTGCTGGCCCCCTGACTCAAGGTTTTAATTATTGTCATGCCACCAAGCTGTATAGACTCATGAGTAATTCCTAGGCTAAAGAATGGAATAAAAATTCAACTACTCTGAGAATACACATGAATATGTAGTGCTTAGTGGAGAAGCGTTATTGTGGAAAAGAGGATTTCACAGTTTATGTTCAGCAAACAAATCAAAATAACAAAAGACACAGCTTTAAAAAGAACAATCTAAGATTTCTATGTTAAAACATTTAAAAATCCTGATTTTTTACAAAAATTGAGACTTTAAAGAAAACAGCAAAGTATAAATTATAATCAAGAGAAACAGATATCAATGCAATCTGACCCTAAAATGCATTAAATATTGATTTTAGCAAATACTTCAAAGAATCTATTATAAATGTGTTTAGAGAATTAAAATAATTAACAATGAAATATGATAATAATGACTGAACAAATAAGAAAACTTCATAGAGAAAAAAGAAAGTATAAAAGCAAGCCAAATGGCAATTTGAGTTGAAGATTATAATGTACTGAAATAAATAAATACACCACCAAGTAGACTCAACAGTTGATTTGATGCAAGAATAAAAAATTTATTACCTTATATATAGATAAAGAAGTATTAAAATAAAATAATGCGTACAAAACTATTAAAGAAAAATTAACCGAGTTTCTTATAGGAACTCATATAGAAAGTGTATACCACCATATATGTAGTAGGAGCTCCAGTAGAGATAAAAGTGGAAGAATCATAAAAGTAGAATGTTAAAAACATTAAAAATTCTAAATTTAATAACAGAAGCATTATTCTACAGATTGAAGATGTTTAAGAAAACTAAATTTTAAGAAAATTAAATTAGAATAAATACAAATATTTTAATATACAGAAACATCATTATAAAACTGCTGAAACCCCAAGACTGATAACAACAAAATAAAATGACTTAATAAATATAAGGCAAAAAAGATTAAGCCAATGGATGATATTTCATCTGAAAGAAAATGGAGTATAGATTAGCAATACGCTAAGCCTGAAATGAAAAAAAATTCAAGTAAGTATTGTATTCAGTGAACCTATCTTTCAAAATAGAAGCTAAAATAAATTTCCTGAAAGTCAGAACCTAGACTTTATTGCTAGAAGATCTACCCTACGAGAAATACCAAAGGATGTCCTTATGCTGAATGAAAATGATTGATGTTATCTCAGATCTAAAGAAGAAATAAAGAATATTGGAGATAATAAATATACAAGCAACAGGAAAGACTGATTATGCAAATATTGTATCATCTTTCTAGTTTATTTAATAAAACAGTTTAAATTAATAATAGGGCCAGTCCTATGGCTTAGTGGTTAAGGAAGCTGGATCCCCCATGGCTTACTGCATGGTTCTAAAACTTGGCCCTAGTGGTTTGAAAAACACACCAGTCATGTGTGTGTGTGTGCTCAAAATCCTGACAGTATCTGAAAATGAGGC